TTCCACTTACGATGCAAGTTGCTATTGAATCTCAGTTTCCTCATCTGTAAAATGGGGAAAATGGACACATCTACCTCATAAGGTTGTTTTTGAGGATTATACTAGTTAATTATGAAAAGTGGCTCTTTGGAACAAAACCTGGCACATCCTGAACCCTGTGTCAGGGTCAGGTGTGGCAATTTGTGTGCCCATTTCACAGGGGAGGACACACACAACTGCTAGGAAAGGAAATAAGATGGTAGAGCCGCTCTTCTCTGCCTACATTCTGGGCTCCTCCTGCTCTACAGAGCTAATTCTTAAAACCAGGACAGTGAATGCTCATCTCTGCATTTTTCCCCAGAGGTGGGGAAATCAACTTTTCGTGGTGCCCCACTGCCAGCTCTCTCTCATCCCATCTTAGGCACCACACTCAGAGTGATTTGGGATTCCCATCTTGTCCACATTTGTCTGCTATAGTCTGGGCAGAGACACCAGACAGAGTCATCTAATTAGTAGCCTCTTCTCCTCTGGGGCTCGGGGCTACTGATGCATGGACTCCACATGTCCCAGGCAGAGGCGCGATGCCTTATCTGATCCATCAGCAGTGCAGGCTTCCCGGCAAAGGCCCGTGAGGACAGGGTTTCCCAAACTCTGGAGCAGGAAGTCAGGAACCTGGGCAGTGGGGACCTAGGACTGGAGTTGACATGGATGTGGCTGCTGAGTAGGAGGACATGACCCCACCATCTGAGCCCCACTGCCCTTATTTCCTGGGCTTGTTGGCATTATGTATATAAAGTGATGATCTCAAAATCCCCTGATCCCTACCTCTTTTTTTTTAATGTCCCTCTTGCTTTTTCCTCCCTCTGTCTAAACCAGGGGTCCTCAAACTTTTTAAACAGGGGGCCAGTTCACTGTCCCTCAGACCATTGGAGAGAGCGCACTGTGGGCCGGGACGAGTCAGCTGCTAAGCAGGACAGGCAGCGGCAAAAACACCTGGAGGGCCAGATCAATGTGCTAGGCGGCCTGCATGTGGCCCACGGGCCATACTTTGAAGATGCCTGCTCTGAACTCTCCAATGATACAGTTACAGAGGGAGCAGACAGTAGTGACTAAGGACACACATGCAGAAGTGCCCTATTTGGATATTGTAAGATACCGGGCTATAAGGACAATGGACACCTTCCAGCTTCTGTTTACTGCTTGTTTGCTAACTGCAAGGCATTATAAGTGGGATGCAGAGAAGACAGACAACAAACGAGGAAACCGGAGTCTCTCAGCTAGGACCCGGAACAGGTTAGAGCCTATCAGGGGCAGGATGAAGTAAGAATCACTGTGGGGGCGGATGCATGATCAGTATGTAAACAGCTTAGGTATAAAAGGCTCACTAGCACACAAAGGGGGGTCCCTGCCCGAAGAAGAGGCCACTGTGCTGGCACTCTGGGGGCTCGGACCCTAGCTCGAGCTAGACAATAAAACTCCTTTTGATAATTATAGCCTCAGTGACTTTGTCTCTCTGTCCCGCGGCCCTGTGAATCTCGGCTATAGAACAGCTATCATTCCTGGCCCTGCCATCTTGAAAAAAACCACGCCACCTCTTTGAAGCCAGTGTTCCTCATGTAGAAATTGGAGACGGCAATCTTAGACCTCCCTTGTAGGATTGTAACATGGGATCAGGTGTGTTGGCACAAATTATAGCACTCAATAAATATCCGCTATCATTATCAAGTATGGGGATGGACTCTTAGTCCACCCCGACATCCCCATTTTTTATATGGATTATAAAGCAATTTTCTCTCCCAGGAACTTCATTACCTGTGTGCTTTGGCAACGTCAGGACTGAGCTCATGGCGGGGGCATCCTCTGCAACGCTGTCCCTGAGACTTGCCTTCATCTGAATGGCATCCTGAGCTTCCTCCACCATGGAGCCTCAAGGTGCCTGGTCATCCCCTGAAGCCCCAGGATCACTGTTAGAGAAAAAGTCACCAAAGAAATTCAGCATCAGCCCAATTCTCCCTCGTAATACTGCGTCTCTGGTCTAGAGACTCCTTTGCTCTCAAATTGATGCTTCAGGAGAAAGTACAAAAAGGATGGGTTTGTACTGCAGCAGTGTGCACGTGACACCTCTTAGCACAGTGCTTAAGAGTCAGGCAGCTCCGGTTCTACGGTGAGCTCTGAGGCCAAACAGCTGTGTGACCTTGGTCAAGTAGCTTCACTTCTCTGTTTCTCCATTTCCTCATTGGCATGGTGGGAATATTAATAATACCCAGAACACTACCTATTAAGTTATATGACAAAATGAAACAATGCAATCTAAGCACCTGGCACTTTTAATTGCTCAATATATTTTATAATCATCCTTATTGTTATTGCTGTTTTAGTTAATAATCATCACAGACAAACATGTTTAGTCCCTGAATTAGATGCCAGAATATCTTTAACGTAAAGAGTTCTTAAGCTACAAACTCATTATCTCCTTTTTACCAGGGAGAGGCAGGTTGTTCCTGGGGACTGGCAGTCTTTTTATTTTCTAGGAGAGGGCACTAGTGCACGACATGTACTTGAACTTAGGGCTGCAAGGAAGAAGGAAGCAATTCTTTCCTTCTAATACCAGATAGTTGCTAACTGCTGCAGAATTGGGCTAGAACAGAAATAGTGAGTCAGAAAAAAAAAAAAAAACAACAACCTATTTTTTCTTTGTTTTCCCTCTATGGCCTCAATTTTTTTTTTCTTATTCCCCCAAATTGACTGGTTTCACTGCCGTTCTGCCACCCTTCCTTGCACTATGAGTTTCTTAAGGCCAGATGGTAGCAGTTTTTATTCTACCCCGATGTCTAGAAGAGTGCTTAGCAGAAACTATATACTTTGTGGCTGAATCTGTGACCCCTATTTACCTGGCATTTATTTTCTCTCCTCTACCACTGTCCCCAACTCAGACACATTTTTAGTTAACTAATTAGTTCAAAGAGCAGAACTTTGGCGAACTATATCAGCTATTCCTTCTCTTTCTCTTACTGAATTTTAGCAAATTCAGAGATGGTTCCTTTATAAACTTGGAAGGAAAGAATCTCATTCCCTAATCTTGGTTAGCAAGGAAAGAATCAGAGGTGGGAGGTTATAGCATACAGAATAACAAGCAATTTGAGCTTCCACATAAGTACCAATCACGGCCAGAAGTAAAACATTGCAAAGACCCAGAAGCTCCCCGAATCTACCTCCTAGCTCGCGTTAACTATCATCTTGCCTTTAATTGAAACCACTATTTTATTTTGCCCTAGGTTCTTACCACTTCTGTTTGCATTTCTAAAAATAGAGTTTCATTTTGCCTGTTTCTGAACTTCGCATGATGGAATTATCATCTTTCAATGTTATGTTTAAAAGATTTAGCCCCATGGTTGCATGTGGTACTAGGTGATTCGATTTATTGCTGTATAAGTCATTGTATGGATATACACAATGCATTTATCTATTCTTCTGTTCATGGGCAGTGTCGTGATTTCTTCACATGTTGTGGTATTGTGAAATATATATTTGGTCTTTGTCCTGTTTTCTGTGTCCTTGCATACAACTTTTAAAATCCTTGGCATCTCCAACATGTGATAGGTGTCTTTTTTGCATGCTAACAGATTGACTGGTGGCTGGCAGCCCCTAGGTAACTTTAGGATGGGAGCTCATCACAGGAAAGATCAAGGCAGGATTAAAGGGTTGGGCCTGTCTCTTCTCCAACTCCTGGAGAAGGAAGAGGGGCTGAAGATTAAGTTGATCGCCAATGGCCAATGATGTTATCAATCATGCCTACATAAAGAGGCTGCCATATAAACCCAATGGGAGAGGGTTTGGCGAGCTTTCCGGATAGGTGAACACCTGCAGGTTTCTGGAAAATGGAGAAGGCATGGAAGCTCTGCACCCCCTCTTACACCCCTTGCCCTATGCATCTCTTCCATCTGGATGTTATTGTGTATCCTGTATATTTAATAATGAACCTGTGAGGGTAAATAAATGTTTCCCTGAGTTCTGTGAGCCCTCCTAGCAAATTAATTGAACCCAAGGTAGGGGGTTATGAAAACCCCGATTTATAGCCCATCGGTCAAAAGTACAGGTGCCAACCTATCACTTGTGGTTCACATCTTGAGGGGAGGCAGTCTCATGGGACTGAGCCCTCAACCTGTGGGATCTGATGCTATCTCCATGTAGTGTCAGAATTGAATCAGAGGACACCCAAGCTGGGATTTCTTGTAGAATTGATCACTTAATGTATGGGGAAAACCCCCATACATACCTGGTATCAGAAATATGTTGATTATGTTGTGACAGTATAGTAAGAGAAACAGTTTGTGTTTTCTGACATCACAAGACGTTAAGGTTGTTAGTAACATTTTCTATTACAGACAATGATCGAACCAGATACCTTTATGGACATTGATAACAATTTCCCCAGGACAAATTCCTAGATGTAGAATTTTGGAATCAGAGACTATGGCCACTTTTAAGCTTCCTCCAGAGTGGTTGTACTAATTGTACTTCCACCAGCAAAGTACATTCCTGTCTGTGTCCTCACACTCTTGCCAATGTTAACTTATTTGCATTTCTTTTAATCATGCCAACTTGACAGGAAAAAGATCCTCTCTCAAGATTGTAGACATTTTCATTCAAGTACTAGTGAGGTTGGGCACCCTCTCTCCTTTGCATTTATTGGCTTTTTGTATTTATTCATCTGTGTATTGCCTTTTTATATCTCTTTGCCATTAAAAAAAAGTTGGGGTGTTTGTGCATTTTAATCACAGTTCACCTGAGAGCTGAGCTCTGGTGAAGTAAGTGTCAGACATACTTGACGCTAGAGCATTTGGCAAATACAGGGTAGATGAGGGAGGAGGAGGCGATGTCTTAGAGGCTCATAGATCTCAAGTGGATCTGCCCGGCTGGTGAGTAATTTGGAAGCTTATTGTTCGGAAACCAAAGAGGACAGTTGTGCATTCAGCCCCATGCTGGGGAGAAAACAATGCTTCCTGGAGCAGAGGCCATTTGAGAACAAGGGACCTTGCTCTAATTGAATCTGCCTTTTTCCTCCTTTGTGCCCAAGGAATCTCTTTATGAGCATGACTGCCTGTGCTGCAGGAGTGAACAGGGGATATGAGAAAGAGAGAATGTGTGTAGCTTGGCCTGAAGCTTAGGATTTGAATTACCAATGTCCAAAATGGAATGTACACCTCCTTTTGTTCTCATCCTTTCTTCAACAAATATCCCTTGACCCCCACCAGGTGCCAGGCAGTGTGCTGGGGGGCAGGTGTGACTGGGGCCCCTCATTAACTTGGAGACAATAAATGAGCTTTTGCTCCTCAGCCACTGCTCAAGGTGCCATTGAGCTCTCTGTCCATCCATCCCACTCAAGATACCGACCCCTTCTGAGTGAGGAATGCTGGACAGGACACAAACAAGCATGACTTTTTACATGGTAAGTAAATGAAATAAATAGAGGCTGTCCTTTTTTTTTTTTGTCAAATGTAGGCAGTTTTTTTAAAAGCATCGGCTATCAGAAATTGTCATGATCATTTCACAAAAGAAAGTACATTTTAAACCAAAACATAGGCAAGAGAAAGACATTATCTCAGAATAAAGAATCTATTCCTAAGTGGACTAAACCTCACTTGCTAAAAAAAATCTCACAGCATTGTTTATATATACATATTTTTTTCCATTTTGCCACAGATTGTTGGTAAAGACTTACATTAGACAGGCGTAAGCATTTGGAACACTGCCCGGGACGTGATACAGCCAATCCCAAAAGGAGGCTGGGTGGGGAATAAAGTGAGTATATCTAAAATGAATAGCAAAATCAGTGCCTTCTTACCCAGCCTGGAAGGTTGAGGTTAAATTCACAGTATTACTAACCTTATAGATCCATCCATCCAGTCTGCTTTTATTATATTTTTTAGTGAAAAAATGTATATGACATAAAACTTACCATTTCAACCATTTTAAGTATAAAATTCAAGGTTATTGAGTATGTTTGTAATGTTGTACAGCCATCATGAGTATCTATTTCCAGAATTTTTTCATCATATCAAACAAACACCCTTCTTTCCCATTCTATCCCAGTATTTGGTAGCCTGTATTTTAATTTCTGTCTCTATAAATTTTTCTATTTTAGGTATCTCATATAAGTGGAATCATACAACATTTGTCCTTTCATGTCTAGCTCACTTCACCTAACATAGTGAGTTTCATCCATAGGGTAGCATGGATCAGCACGTCACTCCTTTTTATGGCTGAAGAATATTCCATGGTATGGATAGACCACATTTTGTCTGTCCATTTAGCCACTGATGGACACTTGAGTTGTTTCCACCTTTTGGCTACTGTCAATAATGCTAATATGAACATTGGTGTACAAATATCTGAGTTCCTGTTTTCAATTGTTTTAGGAGTGTGAATTTGGATCATGTGGTAATTCTATATATAATGTTTAAAGGAACCTACCCTTCATTATACAGACCTTTCCACTGAAGCACAGAGTGGGGTCAGGACCTTCCTGAGGTCACACAGCATTGAAGAGGTGGAAGAGTGGTAACTACACTCCCAGAATGTCTACCAATCTCAGACAGAGGACACTAATGGGTGGAGGGGAGAACCCAGAGGGCCATGATCTAGATTCTAGGGGAATAACCAAGGCCGGCTATCCCTTGGGCAGAAGAGTCCAGTCTTCTGCAGCCAGTTTTTCTAATGCTAAGCCAAGGGCAAAACATTTGAATCTCTGCAACTGTCAGCCTAAGACACTAGGTGAGCAGAATAGTATGGAAGAAGGAAGTCCAAGAGTTAAATTAAAACACTTTTTCTCAAATGCTCGGGGGAAGGCATCTATATCTTGGGAGAAGTTAGGAACCAAAGATAGTTGATGGGACTGTCCTGACTTCAGAACTCTGGGCTAGTCCTGTGAAAGAAAAACTTGCTCCTAAATATTTAATTTTAAAAAAACCTAAAAAAAAAATCAATTTATTTATTTAGAGTCAGAGTCTCACTGTGCTGCCCAGGCTAGAGTGCCATGGCGTCAGCCTAGCTCACAGCAACTTCAAACTCCTGGGCTCAAGCGATCCTCCTGCCCCAGCCTCCTGAGTAGCTGGGATTACAGGCATGTGCCATCATGCCTGGCTAATTTTTTCTATATAATTTTAGTTGGCCAATTATTTTCTTTCTATTTATAGTAGAGACGAGGTCTCACTCTTGCTCAGGCTGTTCTCAAACTCCTGAACTCAAAGGATCCGCCTGCCTCAGCCTCCCAGAGTGCTAGGATTAGAGGCATGAGCCACCACGCCCGCCCCTATTCCTAAATAATTGAAAAGCAAAATTTGGAGGAACAAGATACCCGGGCATTAGTACAGCAAGAGGTATTGTCTGGAGTGTGGGTTTGGGATGGAGCCTGCAGACGTGGGTGCAAATTTTTGGCTCTTCTACTTATCAACTTTGGGACTTCTGAGCCTCAGTTTAAACATCTGTAAAATGGGGCAATAATGGTATCTACCTCATAGGGAATGGATATGCTGATGGATCACATAATCCAAGTGATTCTGGACCTTGGATGTACATTAGAACAGGTTTTTAAATTACTGATGCTTAGAGCCCACCAAGATTCCATTGGTCTAAGATGGTGCCCAGTTATTTATTTATTTATTTTTTAATTCCCCAGGTGACTCCACTGTGCAACTCAAATTGAGAAACAATGTCCTCCAGTACTTCTCAAGAATCAACTGTGGATCTTGTTAAAATGAAAGTTCTGATTCAGTAGGTCTGACGTGGGGCCAGAGTTTCTGCATTGCTAACCACCTACCAGGTGATCCCGGTCCCCTAACCATGCTTTAAGGAGCAAGGTTTTAAAAAGCCGCCTCCAGGCTTGGTCAGACCCAGATTAAACATGTGGCAAATGTCAGTTTCTTATTAATAAGTAAGGATGTTTGGCAGGTGCTGGAGTAAGGGGAAGTGAGCCCGGGGTAGGAGTGGATCTGCAAAGTCTCCTAAAAGAGCAAAAGGCCTGTTTGCTGCAGTGTTGCTTTCGTTGATGTTGCTCAGAGAGATGGAAAGTGAAGGCCTAAGCATGATGATAATCATGAACTAGAGTCCCTCCCCTGAGAGTCTCAGTTCTTATGATGAGGGATTTGAGTCAAACAGGAATCAAAGGCAGTGGACATTTGGGGACAGGGTTAGGGCACTTGATGTATTCAGGAAATGTTTACTGAGCATCTACTGCAGCACCAGGCACTGGAGGTCTACCTGTGGCCACAGGCCCTGCTCCCAAGGAACTGGTTTGTCCCTCTCCCACTGGATGGCCAAACAGGCAGTATCCAGAGTGATGGCTCTAATGAGGGAAAGCGCCCTGGGCCCACTCCAAGGGAGTTATGAAAAGATTCCTTTTTTTTTTTCCCCTAAAAGATAAGGTCTCCCTCTGTGATAGAAAAAAGAACCCATCATGCTGCTTTCTTCCCCTTGAATCTTTGCATGTGACGTTCTTTCTCACCCACGTCTCAACTCAAAATCTGCCCCCGCCACACACACACATGGGTAAGAGTAACCTGACTTCCCTGGTGACATCAGCCCCTCCCTTTACACATACCCACACCCCCTTTGAAACAATTGCTACCTACTGTCATTACATAACACATGACGTAATTCGTCACTCCAAGCTATGTGCAAGCCTCCCACCTACTACTGCTCCTGTGGGCAGATACCATCTTTTCTGCTCATTGCCATAACCGCAGCACCCTGAACAGATTCTGGCACCTAGTTGGGGACTCAATAAATATTGAGTGATTACATGAATATTTGAATGAATGAATGGATCAACATAGGTGATCTGACCACCTGAATTCTCCCTGACACAACATCGAACTCTTCCTTTTGTATTTGAAGCTGTGGCCCTTGCAGTAGGTCATTGCCCCTAGTATGGTAGAAAAGAGTTTCAGTAGAGAATTGACCCTACCAGGCAGGTTTCCAAAGCCTGCCTCTGTGGCTTCATATGGATATTTTTATCACCCCTAGTAAGCAGATCCAGTCTATGTGCTAGAATCCTGGGAAACTTTCCAAAGTAGTCAGCAAATGCCATCATTGACCAGCATGTCATTCACTCTTTTTTTTTTTTTTTTAAGACCCTGATACCTATTTTCCAATAAGCACATTGCCTTACTTGGCTTATTCCTTCTGAGCTGTCAGAAAGGTGGGAAGACTTTCATTTGTTCTATATCATCCCAAGCAGAGAGAAGAGAAAAAAAAATCCACATTAACAATAGCAGCTTTGGGTTTAATAGAGTAAGGATGAGTAATTCTGAAGGCAAAGAGGGCAACTGGGGTGAGTCAGCAAAGTTTTTCTGTGGGTGTCAAATTAGCATCAACCTCCTTATTCTAACTCCCACCCAACAGCCATCACCCCTCAGTCTGCATCTTACCTCATCTAGCCTGAACTTCTGTGAGCCCAGTTTTCCAATCTGTAAAGTGGAGAGAACAGTATTTATCTGAGAGGAGTGTTGGGAGGATGACATGAAACAATGCATGCTAAGTTTCTTCCTCTATTTCCTTCTCCCTGTACACTAGCCCACACTACCATCAACTTTTAGATTAACCTAACTGTGGGGCCCCGAGTCAGGAGTGTTTGCAAAAAATGAGTACAACAAAAAAGGAAGAAACCATGTAGAATGGCACTCGATTTCATTAGCCCAGAGGTTTGAATATGCATATTTAACCAACAGGGAATTTTCTATGACTGCAAGCATTTTCCTTTCAAATTGTTACTTTGTTTTATAATCTGCTGGAATATGAAAGAAGAAAGGAAAGAAGCCACTCATTTCTTCAAAGGCAACCCAAATTTGATCCCTTTAGCGAATGGCTCAAGATAAAAACACCATTTCATTCTGCTTTCTGTGATTAAACAACCCTCTTGTTTGTCAAATAGCAGGGAGAAGAGAAGAAAGGGAAGCTCTTGTCACTGTTAAGTGCACCCAACAGCTTGGTTGTGCCAGTGCCCACGAAAGGATTCTCGAGATGGGAGGTGAGGTTAGATTTCCTCTGCGTGGAACAGGAGAGATACTGGTAATGAGGATGGGGGGGCCTTTAAACGTCCCCATAGCATTGTGGACTCCTCGAGTTGGGAAGGTCTAGGACTCTTGTTACCCCCAACCCATCACTTTCTTTCATGGATATTGAGACATTGGAAACCAGTCTGTTCCATGACATTCTCCATACAAGAAATCATACAAGGGCTGTCCAGAAAATATCCAGCCATGTACTATATTCTTGTTACTATTACATGGCTGGGTTCTTTCTGGACAGCCCTTGTATTCCTGAGCAAAACAAACCAACTGCTCAGAAAGATTTATAGGAGGTTCAAGGGGGCTCCCTAAATCCATCTTGCTTCACCGGAATTCCATTTCAGCTTGGCAATGTGGGAACTTGGGTTTTCATGGGAGGCAAGACATTTACGTTCTGACAGTTCTGGCTGGAAAGTCAATGTGAAAGTGTTGGCCTGTCGAAAAGGCAAACAAACGTAGCAAATAAAGATGCACGAAACCCAGTGAAACTTGAATTTCTGATGAACGAGAAATATTTTTCAAAGTATAAGTATGTGTCATGTAATATTTGGGACATACATATACTAAAAAAAAGAGTATTCATTGTTGATCTGAAATTCAAACTTAACCGGGTATCTTGTATTTTGTTTGGCAACCTTACCTATTTACCATGTAATCGCAGCTTGCATTTCCTGTCTCATTATATAAGCAGTATGGGGGGCAATATAGGGATGTTCAGAGAGCCAACGAACGGTTTTTGAGCAAGTCACTGGGGTGGTTCCATGCATGGGTTTTGATGTCAGGCAGGGCTAGATTCAGACCCCGTGTCAGTCCGGTAACTGACTTTCTTTACTGAGCTTCCTTTCTTTATGGTAAAATGAGAATCTTAACACTAGCACACTGTAGGTGCTGAATAAATGACAGCTCTTCCTATCACACTCTCTACCAGGGAGTTCCTTCTGCCCGGAAAGCCCTCCCTTGACTCCTACTTGCCTGTGAAGCTTTCTCCAGATGTCCCTCCTGACTACTTAAAGAATTTTGTCCAAACTGCTGGAAAAGTCCACATCACTCTAAGGTATAGCGTTGGAATCAGTATCATTGCTTACAAATGTTTTTCCAACCAGACACCAAGTTGTCTTCATCTCCACTATCCCACAGGGTTTAACGCATAGGAGGAGCTTGATATTTCCTAAATGAACATGTTGTCAAGCCATTCACACCTTAGCATAAATTATCTATGACTGCAGTTTCCAAATGGTAGAGGTGGTACAAGGAAGTTCCTTATAAAGCTGAACTTATTCCATTTAAATGATTGCTTTTTATTTAAGACCATTCTTCCTTCTTTGTCTGAAGCTTTTTTTTAAAAAAACACATCTTTCATAGAATTTTTAAAGGATTTGGAAAAAGAGAGCTGGCAACCTCCATGTTGAGACATATTTACATCTCTGTCTAATCTCGACACAGAAAATGCACTAGTACTTGAAATCCAAAAGTCCAAGAATCACTGCTTTATGAGACAATAGAGGTACAAAGCAGACTCTGAGGGAATGTTATACAAGATTGGTAAATTCTGGTGGGGAAGAGTGGAAAGAAGTTAGGGCACGCAATGATGAAATGCAGCCGAGAAGGTACACTTTTATGTGAATAAAAAGACATTTGAATGTTATTGCACATAGTTATTTTCTGCTGTGATCTATTGTACATTTGCGATTTTCCGTGTGTGTTAGTAAATTTAGCAGAATCTGGTTACTTATTTTTATATAGGCTTAATAGCTCACTGAAAGGTAAATTAGGCTAATTCCCTGTTAGTCGACAATTAAGGTGCTCCCAATGCGGAGATTCAAGGAATGGACCTGATGTGATGTGTTATGAGGCCTTGTGACTGTAAAAGATGTTTACGTAGATTGCCTATTTTCTAATAAATTTTTTTGTAGCTGGTTAAAACAAAAAATGTTCGAGGGAGCAAATTAAAAGCAAACATCTGGGGGATGGTCATGATGGAGACTCAGACTTTTGGGGGGAGGGGGGAAATGGGCATTTATTGAAACCTTAAAATCTGTACCCCCATAATATGCCAAAATAAAAAAAAAATCTTTAAAAAAAAAAAAAAGCAAACAGACTTTCCCTACTTTCCAACTTACCTAGAACCTAACTCCACCATATCAGAGCTCAGGATCTTAATTTCCTAAAATCACAGTCTCCCCACAATTGTCCCTACCCTAGGTCAGCAATCCCCTGAGTATAACACAATACAAGGGCCAGCTCATTGATCTCCAAGGACCCACCTGTATTTGAAATCCAAATCGGGCCCTCCCTCTGATCGGCCAGTGCTCTAAGCCACTTATGGGAACTGGCCCTTGCCTTGGCCTCAGACTTTTATTTCTGTAGAGATAGTGCCTTATACCTCTGCAGCTCCATGTTCTGGGATTCCAGCCACTGCGAGGTCTACCTCTCCCTTTGTGTTCTATCCTAGATGGACACATCCGTCACTTTTAAGTCCTCATTGCTCATCTGTCACAGCCCACAACCAGGAAGAGACAAGGGGAGGGGCCAGATGAATGTTTTGCCACCAAGAGGAAGACTCTGACGTTTAAAAGATGCTCCATTTCTCTCCCCATGTCTCCCAACCCCAACTCAGAACCAATGATAGTAACAATAATTTTATCGTTGTTGAGAGCTCACCGTGTGACAGGCCCTGTGCTAAGCGCTTTACACGCATTATTTAATCCTCACCAAAAACCCTTGGGGGAGATATTAGCATGTGACAGATGAAGACACTGAGTGGTAGAACTGGGGACCAGAAAGCCAGTGGGGTCCCTATTCCAAATCTCTGTGCTTAACCCTGATTTATGCTGTCCACCAGATGGAATTCAAAATTGTCTCGTGGAGTCTCAAGACTTTTCAAAGCCCTCCTGGAATCCTCTGTGGCAGGTATTTTAGAGTCCCTGTTCGAGAAGTTTCTCACCTTTAAGCCTCATTCCTTGTCAAGTTGTTTTCCTATCCCAGATCTACCCATCTGGCAAGGCCCAGCTCAAGTGCCAACTTATTCAGCACAGCAGACCCGATGAGTTTACCTGTATCTCGATCTCGTAACACTTGGGATCTGGTGAGCTGTGCAGCTCCTCCCACAGGTGACCCGGAGTAGCTATATAATCATCCCTCCATGGGTGTTTCAACTCCCTGTCTGGACAGACAACCACAGGAAGGGGCCATGTCATGGCACCTGCGTCTGTCATCACCTTACTGGGTTACCCGGTGAATGCCCCAATCAGTGTTTGTTTTCTTTCTTCTTCCCCATCCCATACTCCTTCCTTCCGTTCTTTTATCTTCCCCTCTGCCTTGTTAAACGTGGTGAGCAGCTGCTGAAATGACTGCCGAAGATCCCTGCTTCCTGACACCTGCAGACTAGTGTCATCCTGTCCCCCTGGTGCAGGCTATACCTGGTGACTTGCTTCTAATGAACAGAATACAGCAAAGGTAATGGTACGTCACTTCCACAGTTAGGTTTACAAAAGACACAACTCCCTTTGGTTTAGTCCTATCTTGCGGGCACACTTTCATGCCCTCTTCTTTTGCTCACTCTGTTGAAGGCAGCTTCCGTGCTGTGAAATGCTATATGGAGAGGCCCTGTGGCAGAGAATCCAGGAAGGTTTCTAGCCCACAGCTCATAAGGAACTGAAGTCTCAGGCCAACAACCACAAGGAACGTGTCCTGCCAACAACCACATGCGTGAGCCTTGAAGTGGATCCTTCCCTGTTGAGCCTTCTGAGAGAAGAACCAGAGCCCGAGGACCCAGGTAAACTATGCACAGACTCCTGCCCCACAGAAACTGGGAGATAATACATCTCTTGTTTTCACAGGATGATTTGTTAACCAGCAATAGACAACGAATGCATGAAGTATTCATTTACTGAAATACTTGCTGAGCATTTGACATGGTGTCCATATCAAATGAGGGAAGAATTTGACGCATCAGACATGGTGCTCTAGCTTTGCAAAGCTCTAACCTGGTTTTGGGAAGAGGGACACGTTATCAGATTACTGTAATATCATATTTTGAGAACTCTACTAGGTCCTCCTTCCTTTCCCTATTAGATTCTCCTAAGCAGAATGAGCTGCTGCCTGTATACATCTCTAAGGAGGCTCCAAAAAGGTGAATGTTGAGCTAGGTCTTGGGGGACAAGTGGGAGGTGGGAAGGGAAGAGCGATCCAGGCAAAGGAACACCATGGGGGGAAACAGTGGCACAAGAGGCTTGTCAGAATTGGATAAACGATGCAAAGTTTAACATTCCCTATTCTGACTCCTTAACAAAAAGAACAACATGCATCTATGTTCCGTGTTTACTCTGTTAAGTTTTAACACTCAGTACCTTGCCGAATTCTTACAACATGCTTATAAAATGGAAAATCCCCATTTATAGACAAGGAAATTGAAACCCAGAGAGTAGAAGTGACTTGCTCAAGGTCACCAAACAAGTCACTGGCATCTGAGTGTTAATCTGGCTCATATGAGTTCTCTTTCCACCATCCAATGCCTGTGTTACAATAGGCAATGCTGAAAGGGAGGGACTTCCGGTTTCTGCCCAATTGGAGAAGGCTCTAAATGCCTGTGGACCCTCCTTCTCACAGTCTGCTATGAAAACAAAAAGAGACTGAGCCAGTCAGGTTCTCTGTCTGCCCTGGCGCAGGAGTAGAAGTGTAGTGGATAAGGACACAAGCCTGGGTTCAAATCCGGACTCCTCCACCTTCTAGCTGTGTGTGACCTTGGGCAAGGTATTTAACATCTGTGAGCCTCAGTTTCCCCATCAATATACTGGGGAGATGACAATAGCACCTAAATTATAGAGTCAACGTGATAATTTCTCACTGCTTCCACTTTCCATGGATTAAGTCAGGACCTCGGTATAAAGTCTGTTCATGTAAGAATCTAGTAATGAGAAACCCGAGACAGACAGACCGACCCCAGGAAGCCCCATGTATTTTCCTCAAATTCTGATCACTTTACAGTTCTGAATCTCTCATACTCTCAAAACAAATACACCATTTTATTGGGGTAATCTGATGTTAGTGGGGAATACTTAACTCTCCATCCCTCATGCTTCCCTAGAGGGGCACCTCCAGCAGGGAGATGCTCACTCCTGGCCTCTTGCCCCACCTGCAAGAAGGAACTGACACTGTTCGGCTCATTCCCTCCACCCTGCCCCCCCTGTGATCTGCCTGTCTGCAGAGAAGGTGTTCAGTACATCCTGGGCTTAGGAGGGCAGGCTTTGTCCCATCGCTTTGCCTGAAGTCGGGGTGGGGAGTACATTCAAATTCAAAAGAGTATTTGCAAGCTGTGTCCTCCAAAAGAGCTTTTTATCAGTAATAAAGCTGACACTTTGATCTCCATCTGACTGGCTCTTTCGTGTCTCTTGCAATTAATTTTGTACCACCCTGAAAGGATTCACTCCCCTCTTTTTATGTTGCTCATTCCAATTCTTCATTAAGTCGTCTTGTTACGATTCCAGATGGCTATCCTAAGCAAACTTTCTGCAAAGATAGCTCTTCCATTGGCTTTCTTCTTCTCCCTAATGTTCTGGCTCCCCACTCACCCAGGTTCTGAATCATGGAGCAATTTGGCAGGTTTGCTTTGTACCCATGCCTCACCCCTTGCCAACCCCGCACATGCCCCAGCTCATCCAAGTCTTTTCTAATTACCTCTTGGCTGATAACTATTCTTGCATTTCCTTCGTGTCTGGTAAATGTTCCAATTTCTCTACTTTGTCTTTCTCATTGAATACTTAAAAAAAAAAAAAACCTTGGTAACTCTGGCATTTTTGAATCATCATTAATTTCAAGCTTGTCTTCTTTTATTAGCTGTCCTACATTCCCACCAAGAACTCTTTCCCCCTTGATACATTTGAAAGCCCCTATTTAATTTTCTTTCTCCCATCACTGAGCTTGGACTAACTTGCTCCAATAATGTCCTTGCAGCAGACATAGCACTAGGGGGAGGGATTCCAGGTGTAGACAGCTGGCACCGTGAGCCCTCAAAAATCTTCCCCAGGGGCTTGCTGCTCCTCTGTCTGTCCTGAAATGCTTTCCAAGAATCACTCCCCTCTGAGCTAATCAGAGGTAGGCCAAAGTCTCTTGAAGGGCATTAAGACAGGAGGGTGAACTGATCAACCAGCTTTCTCCCATTAACATATATATGTGGTGACTTTCTTTTCTCTCTCCAGATGAGCTCGCTTGTCACCAGCAGAGATTTCCCTGGGAGACCTGGCCATGCAGGGGTGATTTATAAGGTGGGGGGATGGGGGCTGGCAGAGAAAAAAGGCAGGTCCCCAAGTTTCTCGATAGGGATGTCCAGTGGTGACGGTAATGTGATCTGTCTGACGCGTGCTAGTGTGACTAGGGAGCTGAATGTTACATTTCATTTAATTTTAATTTACATACAAAGAGCCACATGTGACTAATGGCTACGGCACTGGACCGTGTAGTTCTGCAAGATGTTATTTTGGTGGATATCTGGGTCTTCCCCTTTTGCAGTAGCCATAGGTCTTTGTGAGTTTAAGGACAACATACAAGCTGACAAAAATCCGACTCACAGAATCTGGGGGCAATGGATGGATGTCGTGGGTGTGGCTCCATGCCCGTGGGAGCCACACTCTAGGGGCTGTTTCAAGCAGAGGGCACAGACTGGTGGCCCTCAAGCTAGATTCCATACATAGGCATGTTTGACTTACACAATTAAAATATTCATTTGTTGCTGGCATTTAAAATGAAGATATTTTGCATAAAAGGTTCAGATTTCTAGCTTCTCTTGAGAATCAGAAGACCCCTACCCCCTGCCACAGTCCCCACCACTCCCTGCGGTCTAAACGTCCCACGCAGGCATCTGCGTTTATCTGTCCTTGTGTCCTGGCTATAAGCATGGGCTTTGCTTGACACCAAACAACCTGAGTTTGCAGCCCATTTCTGCCTTGTAACAAGGTGCGTGAGCTTGGGCAAGCCACTTCCCCTCTCAGAACCCCAGTTTCCTAATAAGTAAAGTGGATCGTTTTACTCCAGAAAGCTGTTGTCAGAATTCTATGGAACGATACTTGCAAAACTCTTGAAAGAGAGGCAGGCTCATGCTAAGGGCTTAATATATGGTAGCTATTGGAAGAAGAGGAGAGAAAAAAAAATGAGATGGAGGAAGAAGGGAAAGAAGGGGAAAAGGGATGTGGGGGACATAAAAGCTCTCAGTTTCCAAACACATAGAAGACAGCAAAGAAGAAAAAAATATCCTTCCTCCAGTAGAAGATTCCCTAACCCCCTCCCCACCATAATACCACAACCACCTACGTTGCAAGAGCAGCGATGGGGTGAGGTTGAGAGGAGATGTGTGAATAAAAGCAAGGAAATAGATCAGCTGGTCCCTGAGACCTTCGCCTGAGAGCCAATCCTCCCGCCTACTTCTCAGGAGCACTTGAGACCTTGTATGATACCAAAAGTTCTGGACTTCATAAACCCTGTTGAAGCCCAAGTCCTTCCGCCACCTCCTGTGTCAATAATCAGAAAACGTCTCCATGTGCCGTAGTTTGTACATGTTTATCAGAGGAAACAAAGCCTTCTAAGACAGAGGGAAAGTTAGCTGAAGAAAAAAAGAAATGTAGAAGACTTGACCAAATTCTCAATCTTAGGTTCCCAGTGTTTAACTTTGCACAATCTCCCAAAGTTGATTCCAAGGCCATGTAATTTACAATATGCTGGGGAAGGGACATCCAGAGCCCTGCACTCAGAATCCTGGATTCAGTCCATTTTAGGGTAGGGCCAGGGGACCTGCATTTCACAGATACACAAGCTGTTTTACTTCTATGAATCGGTTCATCAAGGCAGACTAATGCTGTGGCTGCATAATTAACAGCTGGTGAGAACAGCCCAACACACCTCTCACCTCTGGGGAAGCATCAAGTATCCAATGGGGGCCTTAGGAGGAAGTAAACTCCTTCATGCATTCATTTACCAAATAGTTACTGAATGCCAGCCATGGGGCAACTTAGTTCTAGGCTCTGAGAATAGGACAGTAGGCAAGACAGAGTAAAATCCTGTCCCCATGCATCTAGCTGGGAGAGACAGGTAATAAAAATGTAGGAGGAAAATACTCAGCTTATAAGATGGTGATAAGTGCTGAGGAGAAAAACAAGAGACCTTTGGTAGAAACTTGGATGTAAGATGATGTTATATAAGCATGGGTCCCTGTCCAGTGGTCAGATCTTGGAGGGAGGCCTCCTCCTGTAGTGAATTATCACACTCCAAATCCATCCATCCATCCACCTGTCATCCCATCCATCCATCTATCCACCCATCCATCATCTACCCAAATGACTACCCATGCATCTATCCATTCATCCGTCCATCCGTCCATCCATCCATCCATCCTTCTTCAGTGTTCCTTCTTTCCTTCATTTGTGTATCAAACCTACTCATCTAACTGTGTGCGTGATCCTGTGTAAACTTCTGGGAACACAAAAGCGAACAAAAGATAGACACTGTTCTGGGCTGAATTGTATACTCCCCCACCCCCAAATTCATATGTGGAAGCCCTAATCCCTGGTGACTCAAAATGCACTGAGTTTGGAGATGGGGCCTTTGAAGAGTAATTAAATTAAAAATGGTGTGATTAGGGTGGGCCTTAATCCAAAGTGACTGGTGTCCTTACAAGAAGAGACGATTAGGACACAGAGACTTCCGATACGTTCAAGCACAGACAGACAAGCACGTGAACAGACAGTGAGAAGATGACGGTCTCCAGCCAGGGACAAAGGCCTCAGA